ACTGACCGATAATGAGCTTCAGCGTTACCTGTGCAAGGTTTTCTCGGGGGGAATTTCTGTTGCAGTTGGCATATCAACACTTCTAGATCTTTTTCGACTTGAGATACCTCTAGGAAGGGTTGCCTAAATTGTAATTTGCAATGTGTCTCAGATGAACTACTTTACTTTTTGAAGTGTTAAAGATAAGTGCGTTGCTATCTGCTCCACTTTGAAGCCGAGTCAGGTCATCCTGATTTATCGTCCCTCTGATAATTCATTTATTATTAACCTATTCCTTGCTTACCTACTTGCGCCTGTTACTCCCAATGGAGCATAGGCTGCCGACCAGCATTCTTCAACCCCCTCTGTCCTGGGCCTTCCTTTCCAGTTCTATCCAATTTTTGTTCATTCTTCTCATGTATGTCTCCATTTGTCGACGTAATGTGTTCTATGGTCTTCCACTTCTCCTTTAGTCTTGAGGATTCCATGTGGGGGCTTGCCTTGTGATGCAGTTGGATGCTTTCTTAAATGTGTGTCCTATGCACTTCCAGCACTTCCTCCTGATTTCTTCTTCCACTGGAATCTGGTTTGCTCTTTCCCACAGTAGGTTGTTGCTGATAGTGTCCGGCCAACGGATCCGGAGTATTTTGCATAGACACCTGTTAATAAACACTTGTACCTTCTGAATGATGCCTTTCGTGGTTTTCCGGGTTTCGGCCCCATACAGTGGAACTGTCTTAACATTTGTATTGAAAATTCTGACTTTGGTGTTGGTTGACAGTTGTTTTGAGTTCCAGCTATTCTTGAATTATAGATATGTTGCTCCTGCTTTGACGATCCGCACCTTCTTATCTACATCAGATCCACCGTGTTCATTAATGATGCCGCCCAAATATGTAAAGGTCTGTACATCTTGCAAATTCTCTCCGTCAATTGTGATTGGATTGATACACGCTGTGTTGTACCAGTGAATCTTGCTTTTCCCTTTGTGAATATTGCGACCTATTGCTGCTGAGGCTGATGCCACACTGGTCGTCTTCTCCTGCATTTGTTGTTGCGTTTGCGATAGAAGAGATAGATCATCTGCGAAGTCTAGATCATCCAACTGCATCCTAGATGTCCATTGTATCCCGCGCTTCCCTTCAGATGTTGACTTCTTCGTGATCCAGTCGATCACCAGGAAAATTGTCTCATATTTCCTTCTCTTGCAGCCTTTTCCGCCGTCATTGCTAAATCTTCCATGTGTTTACGTTTGTCGGTCCTGATGCTCCTCTTCACTTGCTTGTTTACTTCTGTGCATTCAGCTTTTGCCTTTGCTTTTTCTGCTCTTGTTTGGCTGGTATTTATTGCTGCCTTCTTGTCCCTCCTCTCTTGAATCTTATCCAGTGTATCAACAGTGATCCATTCCTTGTGATGGTGCTTGTTGTGTGTGGCCCAGAACCTCATGACATGTTGAAGTGATTGCCTCTTTTATCTATTTCTAGTTGCTCTCCATAGTAGTTCCTTCTCCGTTGATTAAGTCGTGAAAGGCCTGGAACTTATTGCTGAGGGCTATCTTGAATTTGTTTAATCTGTCAGTATCTCGTACTAAACTTTTGTGATGTTGTCAGCCTCGTTGTGTATGCCATTATGTGAGAATATGGTGCCGCCTATGAGCAGTTTATTGAAGGCATATAGATTTGCAAATCTCTCACCATTTTCGTTTCTTCCAGTCCATGTCGTCCAATGATCGCTTTATATCCGTTATTATTCATCCCAACCTTGGCATTTAAATCTCCCATCAGAATGGTCAGGTCCTTTGTTGGGCACTTCTCGACGATTGACTGCAGCCTATCGTAGAATTGATCTTTAGCATCTTCATTGTAGTCGTTGGTAGGCGCGTAGCATTGGATGACGTTCATTGTAATACCCTCTTTCTTTGTTTTGAAGGAGGCTTTGATGATCCTTGGTCCATGAGATTCCCATCCTATAAGTGCACTTTGTGCTTGTTTGGACAGCATCAATGCAATTCCTTGTGTATGTGGGACATTTTCTTCTTCATGTCTGGAGTATAACAGCAGCTCCCCTGAAGCTAGTCGTTTTTGTCCAACTTGCGTCCAATGAGTTTCACTGATTCCAGGCACCTCTAGGTTGTATATCCTTATTTTTGCAGCAATTCGGAAGACTCTCTCAGTCTCCCAAATTGTACGAGCATTCCATGTACCTGAATAAATGGCTGCTCTTGTTGTCAGAAAGGGCACCGGCCTCGTGACTTCCGAAGGAACTCGGATTTTATCATGAGGCGTCATAATTCTTCTAAATGAAGACCTTCTGGATCCGAGGACAGAGTTAAAGTGGTTTGAGTTATTTTTTCTGGTTAGCTTTTTTTAGCGAGTTAGTTTTCTACTGGATGTGGTTGCTAACCCCATTCTCAACCCTCCTCCTTTATCCGGGCTTGGGACCGGCAGTAGCCCCTGGAGGGACCCCAGGTGGAGTTAAACTTATTTTGAACCACATCTTAATCCTCTGTCTGAGATCATTCAGACAACATTGTCCATTAAAACTAACAACTGTAGGAGTGGTAAGTTACATATAAAAAGCTTTTCTTTCTAATAAGTTAATAAACTCCACAGACTCAAGGAGCTATATTTGGTGACACTTCCCTAACTCTTGTACGATATAAAGACAGATACAGTGCTGAGACGCTGAAATATTTGAACTTCCTCAACAAGCATGGCAAATACAAGAAAATAAACCGGATTTACCACAGCGACAAATAAACATGCTTATAACATGGAATTCATCCATTAAACCTAGGAACAGTAAAAGGAAGGTTTCAACAGAACCAAATGGAATTATGGATGATGCAGCTGCAAGGTTTTGGTTCTTGAACCAGCACATTAGACTTAGGAATTTCTTATTTCTGAGTTAGTGTAACGAAAACGACCCAAATGGATTCAAGGCAAGTCGGACGACATATATTAGACTATTCCAAAGTGACTCATTGATCTCTATCACTTAATAACTGATTTCTCACAATAAGCATAGGGTTATCAGTAACTATGAAGAGAGCGAAAAGAGCTATCCTCATCTCAGTTGGATGGATAAATGAGGAAATCTAATGGTGAAGTCAAACCCATTTTACAAACTACAACATGGGTTTGTGCAACGCACATAACCACGAACAATTTATTAGTCAAGGGTAGTTTTACAGGTTGCCTTGATCAGAAAGCGCTTGTGGATGCTTTTTTTAGTGGCCTAATTTGGGGGATTCGACATCGTCCTGCAAATTTTCCTACTGACAGAGTACATTATAGATGGATATGGCCGGTACCTGAACTACCTAATGAAGCAATCCCGGTTTGTAAAGTGGTGTCTAAGGTTAAAACAGTGAAACTGATCCGTAAGATTCACTCAGTTTAACTTAAAATTAACCAACCTCCGAATAACTGTCGAATTCACTAGGACCAGTGCCGTCAAAGGTTTTCACTGAACAATAAGAGATACATAGAATAGTTTATTAGCATTGTAGAAGTAATGAACATGGACTTATTTTTTAATTATTCGCGTTTTCTATTTTGGCCTTTGCAGTGGCTGATACTATGTCAAACCCGCATTAGGCTATTCTAGCTTTCGGATAGATCAATCTATTTATTCTTCTCAAACCACGTTTCGACCTAGTCACTTACTGACTTATTAACTCTGATTGTTTTTAGATGATCGTATATACGTGTTGGTTGCTTATCTCATTCATTATTTCTGCAACTCAATTTCGGTCTGGCTATAAATATTGAGTAACGCTTGATCAAATTAACATGACTCACTTGTTTTCTCCGAACCGTTTCGTTCTATTCTCTTTGTTTTCTTTCCCTGATTTTTGTTCAAATCATACAGTCCATGAAATATGTGTGTTCATAATCCATTTTGGTTTTCGGCTTCTTTAATTCCGTTATTCACTAACGCGAATTAAGTTGATAAAAAATATGTGAGGGTGGCTCGAATGTGTATTTCAATAAGAATCAGCAAACGATCTAATTGAAGTCTAATAAGTGGTCCACCAAGACTTCAAGATTAGTGCACAACCGAATTAAATGGCTTAAATTATCTCGTCATAGTGATACTAGTTATAGGTCGCTATTGAAGATGATGTATATGGACGGTAGCGTCTACTTGATTTGGACGGCGATATTGTGACTTTCTAGCCTGAGTTAATGTCACACTTTTTGGTTAATGCCTAACATTGATAACACTTTCGTGGTATCCAGATACTGTGGTAACTTTGATGACCTTATAGAACAAACATGACGTGATTGGAGAAATGTATTAGTAAGAAGAGATCGAGGAAACAGAAGTATCATATATTTAGGGTTTGACAATGCTGTTGTCTACAACACTCTTATGAGTAAAGATCCCAGAGTCAGTAAGATCAGAGATCAGGGACGAAGGAGTTCGAAGGTGTATTTGGAAGGTAGTAGATGTATAAGGAAGTATATGATCCAACATGACTAGTTATTATGGGGGATTCATAGCACGATGCAATCAGCAGGGATCTAATGAAGGTGCCTGACTTAACGCTTTCAGGCGGAGCGTTTCCAATAACACGGAACTATTATTTTTGGGAATTGAATTAATTCCATACTGTTTTATGCTTGTGTGTTCAGTGCTTAATTTGGATTAGTCGCCACGACCCTAGTGATTTTTGGTAGAATAGCAGTGATCTGTCGTCCAAAGTAAAAATGGCTCAGTCAGATGGATGGTTCTAGAAGAGTTCAATAATATTTCGCTCACCCCACCTGTGTGCTGGGAATTAACGTGCAACAGTTCTGAGCTCATGTGATGACAGCCAACCTCTTGAACGTATTACCTGAGGTCAGTAAATAATAAAATTCACATCATCAGAAATACTAACTACTGTGATTGACATACTATTATGAAGTGAGTAAAAGTAGTGTTTGGTTGAAATAATTAACTTTCTGGCGTACTGTCGTTTGGGCGCGTATTTGGATTATAGTCCCAGCTGATAGCTGTCAGGCGTTTTTGTTATGAAAACCAGAGGGTCTGGATATAGATCTGGTTTCAAGAAATCATACGTCCTAGAAAAGTCTGCAGATTCAAAAACTTCACACCCAGGTGAACGTAAACGAAAATCGGGTAGAGTTAAGGGTATCCTCAATTGTACTAAGCGTCAGCGGACTTCTGAAACCTATAAATCAACGCATTTAGTGGGTCGTAGAAGAGCTTCTAACTTCGTTACATATACACAGAATGGTCGACTCTTTTATGATATATATGTCAGAGAATCTCCATACCGTACAAACAAACTAGTACCTTCAGTTCCTAAAGAATCTATTGAAGATAGAGCTACTACAAGTCTAACGGAACAAATCAATACAAAGCTACGTAAAAAGGATGTTCGCGCTAGAAGCTACGGTGATTCTGTTCAAAGTCCATGTTCAAAAGCCTCTGTACCCAGATATTTGACCAGGACTTGTAAAAACAGTGTCCGATCAAGTGGCTCTGTTAAAAAATCTGCTAAGGGCCTTAGGAGAACCGAAAAATGTCGAAACAAGATTCCAGACATTCAAAAAACATTAAGACGTGAGCTTGGAGCTGATTACGTATCTCCTGTTGAAGCTCATGGTAAACGGTTGGCAAGTCTAAACGCAACTGCCATCATAGGTGCTTTTAATTCTAAATCTCCCAGGAAAACATATATTAAGAAAAGAAAGTCGGATGTATTATTTGAATTAGGATTACCACCAACTTTGATCCATTCGGATGAAACAGATGATGCTATTACAGAGCCTATGTGTTCAGTCGTTGACGATGATTTAGTTCATTGTGTGGAGATTACCGAAGCCCTAACTTCTGAACATGGCAGCGTAATGGCAACACACAAGTCCCCAAGTTGTACTCCTGTGAAAGAAAATACAACATCAACGTTTAAGAACGTTTGCCAAATTAACCCTGCAATCGAGAGTTTTCATTCACAACGAATTATACCACTAGGACATGATACATTTGGTGTTCAGCAGATTATGCAACAGGTAGTTGTTGTATCTCATTCGAACGAATCCTCTCCAATTATGTGTCAGTCTAAATTACCAGATCTCGGCACAGCTATCCCTCGTCCGTCAATAGGAAGTGCTGTTTCTTTTCCTGTGTTATCCTGTCCAAAACCGTATGATTGTTATTTTAATGATACCGCATTACAACAGCGACCCAACCAAGTTATGTACAATCCATTTCATCCCTCCCTTCCGCCCCAATACGTTAATTCTTGGAATCCTACTTTATCGTGTATTGCAAATTCAAGTATCACACCATCCTTTGTTGCTTGCGCATCTCCAAATATTATTCTTCCCCACATCGGCTCACATTTTGTTGTTCCTAACCCTGGTGTCACGCCTCAGGTCGCATATCCACTCATCTTGCAATCGTTTCCCAATATTCCTGCATCTTACATAGGACCCAGTTTTCCCTGCGGAATTATGTCACCTGTTCTTTTACCAACATCATGGGCTCAACCTAGCTTGCTACCTTGTCAACCATTCAATACTATAGCTAACAACAACAATGAAGTCTTATGTCCTATAATGATCTCATCCGCACAAATTATTTCAAACACTCAACCACAAGTTATCCAATTTCCAAGTAATCAATGCACAAGCTTGTTACCTCAAGCAGGTCTAGGACAGTTAATGTTGAATCACTCTACAGTCATACCAAATGCATGTTCTATTTCTGACCAGCCGACGTCTAGTTGTCACAGAAAACCATATTTGGAGAACCACTCGACATGTTATTCACATGGCGAGGTTAATGGTCCTGTATTGCCATATCAAACACCGCCCGTCGACACCCTAGATGAAACTACTAATATAGTTCCATCCCCAAATTCACCTGTACTTTGCACAAAAACTGAAAGGCCTCTACTAAATGAAAGCAGTTCACTTGGAATGAAGTCCTCGGTTGAAAACCCTGGGAAAAAACTAAGCCCAACCGTCATATGTCTGGATAATGAAAAAGATGCATGGGTTTGGGAGGGCAGTTCTTTTGATCAATATGTTTTCCATCAGGTAAGCTGTATAACATGTCTTGGTTATGTTAAAGACTAGGCTTTTCAACTATGCTCAGATCTGCAAGTTCATGTTTTGGTAGCTGTAAGGAGTTTGTTTGATATTCCATATTTTGTTTCTAACCATCCACGAGTTTGCTTTGTTCGAAATAAGTAGTTGTATGTATTTCGCTAAGCTGAATTCCTTAGAAAACATTAACAATTTTCAAAATGGTCGATTTTAGTTTGGTTAGTATTTTAATATCTTACCTACCAACAGCTTATGTAATGCTACTGCTAAAAGTAGATTAAAGTATAAAGAAATTGTGGAAGGAAACAAAGTTTTATCTTTCAGTTCATGTTCAAAGAAAAATTAGTTGTACTACCGACTATATAATATTCTCATCCAAGCGCATACGGTAAAAATCGTATTTGTAGGTGACGGATTTGATGCACGGATTGGATATTGGTGTAATTTGTACGTATCACACAGCTTGTGCAAAACACGTTCATTACAAAACAAGCCATAAAGAGCATGTCGAATTTTGTTTTGGTTATGAACGGATTACTCATGTAGTCATCCTACATCAAAATGTTGAATACTATTGTGTATCTTGCATGCCAACATTCGTATCCAACTATATCAGGGTTGCTTCTGTTTGCTAAACTAAATTGTCTTCTAGAATATCATGATAACCAGTAGCGTCTGGAAAGTTTACTGACCTGTTAGTACCTCATTTAAAAGCACATGAAGTAGAGTGGTGAAATACTACTATCTTTGTATTTCGTTTCAAACTAGTAGAAGGTTAAACAAAGTGCTCAAACTCCCCACTAATTTTTAATATTACCACTCATTAAATTCTGAAATCAAAATTTACTGTGCTACCCTGACAACACTTAATCAGTTTGCAATTAACGTCGGTAAACAAATCATGTTCTCATAATATCGAAATGTACTTCTAATAGAATGACCAGTACCAGTTGGTGTACCTTGCTTTAATCCACACTTTTACTTGCTAGTGATATTACTCAGGCATTTAAGCTGGAGTAGGTATATCAGAGTTCATACCTCCGACCCAGTGATAGGAATGTAGATTCAAAATATTTGGTTTAACCTCAATGCTTTATATTTTTGTCTTTATTGCATAATATTCACTCATCTTTTCTTCTACGGCTTTGTAATTTATCTCTGTGTGGTTCATTTCTTAATGCTTTGTTGTATCAAGCAATTCGTTTTACAAATAACTATGAAATATGTCAAAAGTTACCACTAGCATACTTTTCGGGAAAATGGTAGTTGAAATATGGTTTTCTACAAGTAACTCATATGTCTTTGTGGCGGATTCATAACACCATCTACCTTTTATTTTATCAGTCTGATGCACCTCCAGTGCTCTGCCAGTGTTATCTTGCAATCCGACACCGACGAGATGGTATGGTGATTCGTGTGAAGGACAGTGTCTTATTGTGTAGTGGTCCAAGCCGAAGTCATCCACCACATGTCGCGAAAATTGTTGCATTGTATCATGATAAAAATACAGGTGAGTGGTTATAGCATCGCACCTGATATATCTATACTAAACTATTTCTGATTATCGTATTCGTTTAGTTTACATGAGTTAGTAAGCACTTCATTATAGGAGGAGTTCAATGTTCGAAAAGTTAGACGGTGTTATTTTCAGGAGGATATCTATGGTGTAGTTAAATGAAAATAGGGATATTGAGAAATCCTGACTAACAGTATTTGATGTTATGAATTCTAACGGCATTTTACTATAAACTCACCCGACCAATAGTATTTGACCAGGGCGTCTGTATATACAGTTATCTGGATTTCATGCCAAGCTCCATTAGGATGAGCATTAGTTGTCGATTCAATGCGTTCTTAACATTTTCACCTTCGAGATGATTTCCTATTGCGACTTTCCTGTGCCCAGTATAACATAGAAATGTTTGCTCTTACTAGAACATGATCGGAGTTCAAATATGTACTGCAGAAGTGACAGTTTTCTATTGAACCGCCCCAACGATGGCTCATGGCAGTATAGTTTGTATGTATCGATCGTTGTGTTGATGTTGGAGGCCACCAAACTAGGTAGCGTCCCTCTTTATGCTCAAACTTTTCATGTGCAAGGAATAAGCAGTCGTCTGAAAATTGTTGTCTTTTCATTGGGCTGAGTTTCTAAATGATCCATATAAATATTTTCCAGTTTTACGTAGTTTACCAACTTGTGCTTTAGAATCAACTGCTTCGATTACTATCTAAATACCTGAAATTCTGTTTTGTGTCAAAAACCTTCCTGTAAAGCTCATCTTTTACTTTAACTGAGCTACAGACAGTGAGAAGTAGGGAGGATAAACTTTGAGACAAAAACGTGTGCCTCTATATTTTCGAGTTCTTACTGTGCTATTTAGATGGACAGCACATAAGCGACTGTCGACAGGAATTCAGTCAAAAAGCTTCTTTTGCAACAGAAGGTATGTCGTGTGTGTGTTTCGGAGATATATCATACATCTATGGGACGACATTCTAGTGTAGTAGCTAGTGACGCCTATTGTCCGATTTGACATAAAGTTCGGACGTTGACATCTCCAAGGTGTAGTATAAAGTGTGGTTTCAGAAAACTTGAGAACTCATTTCCTGGACTCGAATCGTTAGCACTGGTGGAAGAAGTCGAAGACTGATGAGGGTTGCTAGTCAGTCAGTCAGTCAGCTACAATGTAGGACCACGCACATATATGCATCGGTCCAAGTTGCCATACCCCATTAGCACAACAAGATGAACACCGGATCCATAGGAGTAGTTAAGTCAATGGTGGTAATATATAGAAGAAAGAGTGTGTATAAGGAGATAGTACAGGAAGAAAGATTTATTACGTAGAAAGAAAGATATGAAGCGATTTTAATCTCATAGTTTAGAGGAAGACAGAGAGTGTATACTGCGAAGCCATTGTGATCGATTCTGTGACATGTCATTAAGAGCCTCCAACGATTGGTTACGATAGTCACGCGGACCCCAACCAAGTAGTCTGCATCTACCAACATGGCTCAAACCAGAAGTTAGTGACTTCAAGCACTGATGCCACGTTTTGGTTCGGCCACCCTTAACTTTCTTCCAATTATCCCTAACACCGGGTAGCATTGCGCGTCGTGGTAATCGGTGTCCAGGCAGTATACTCGTCGCCATAGGTGACGCAAGTTGGCAAAAGCCAAACGAGCTTTTTGAATCCGTGCTGAGATTTCGTCAGACACCAACCCATTAAGGCTGATCAGACTTTCAAGACAAGTGAAGTTGTCAACGCGTTCGACTACTTCACTCCCTATCCCCAGTTCATGTGTTGACGCAGACTAGTCCTGAAGCATCAACTTGCATTTAGAGCGAGAGGAACGCATTACAATCATCCTGACATTGTTGCTCAGTGCTCCCAAAAGACTGCATTTTATCAGCGTCTTCACCAAACAGGACTATGTCATCTGCGTATTCTAAGTCAATATGTGGAACTTCTGAGAGGAGTTCAATACTCGATCTTTCAGTCGATGAGAGCGTTATTTTCATCAGTAGATCTATGGTGAAGTTAAACAGAAATGGAGATATTGGACAGCCTTGATGGACATCAATTGAGGTTGCAAAATCATATGACAGGTACACCTTTCAATGACAAACAGTTAAGTGATACCATTATTTCATCTCCATAGTTCTCACAGTCGTTACGATTTAGCTGAATTGTTTCGTTTTCACTTTTGAGACCGCGATTATTCATAGTAACATATGCGATATTATTACAAAGTGTTTCTAACGCTGGTCGTGGAAGTTTGAGTTTCTGAATTTATTTCATTTCTAGAAAATGTTATTTATTAAATGTGTTATGACGTTTGTCCCCTGTTAATTGCCACATGATAAGATCGCCAATTAGAACACCGACTTACATGACCTTGACACTGCCAAACCAATGGCATATAAGCCAGTGCGAACATTTTAATCGTTTAAATATCCCCGTCACATTAAAAGACTAGTATTTGAACGAAGAATATTCTTTTCGATAAATTCTCTTCAGGTTCTACAATTATATATCCAAATTAATAATCCGAAAAATGGCCAGTTTAAGGGCAAAGTACATCGTTTAAAGCATGTGAATTTAGGATTGTGATAAATAAAATACAATAAAATTGTTCATGTTGATATGACTCATAAAGAATGTTAACTTAAATCTGAGTATATGTTCAGTGAGATTTTAAGATCTATGATCAGAATAAATATGGGTCAAGTTTACTTACTTACTTACGCCTGTTACTCCTCGTGAAGGAGCATAGGCCGCTCACCAGCATTCTCCATCCAACCCTGTCCTGGGCAATCCTTTCAAGCTCTTTCCAGTTCTTATTCATCTTTTTCATATCCGCTTCTATTTCCCGACGTAATGTGTTCTTTGGCCTTCCTCTTTTCCGCTTCCCTTCACGATTCCAAGTTAGCGCTTGTCTCGTAATGCAGTTTGATGATTTCCTCAATGTATGTCCTATCCATTTCCATCGTCTTTTCCTAATTTCCTCTTCAGCTGGAAGCTGGTTGGTTCTCTCCCACAAAAGGCTGTTGCTGATGGTATCCGGCCAATGGATGTTGAGTATCATGCGTAGACAGCTATTAATAAATACCTGTACCTTCTTGATGGTGGTTGTTGTAGTTCTCCAAGTTTCAGCTCCGTACAGTAGGACTGCCTTGACGTTCGTATTGAAGATTCTGACTTTGATATTGGTTGAAAGTTGTTTTGAGTTCCATATGTTCTTCAGTTGAAGGAATGACGCTCTAGCTTTGCCAATCCTCGCCTTGACGTCTGCATCTGAACCTCCTTGTTTATCGACGATGCTTCCCAGGTATGTGAAGGATTCCACGTCTTCCAGAGTTTCGCCATCAAGAGTGATTGGATTGCTGTTCTCCGTGTTGTGTTTGAGGACCTTGGTTTTCCCTTTGTGTATGTTGAGGCCTACTGATGCAGAGACTGCTGCTATGCTGGCTGTCTTTATCTGCATTTGTTCGTGTGTATGTGATAGGAGGGCTAGGTCATCTGCGAAGTCCAAGTCGTCTAATTGGTTCTGAGCTGTCCATCGTATATGGGTCAAGTAGGGTGAGAAAAATAATAGTGCAATTACCATTCGATCAAATAAGTAAAACGTAATAAGGAGGGAAGAATGCAAAGTGAATGAATCATGTATAGGGGAGAATAATAATGATGTTTAACCAATAATATAAATAATAATAATAATAATAATACAAAGATTTATGGATAAAGATAACAGAGAAAATTACAATTGACTACGAAAGGTCATAGTCAAATTACGTCATTCATTAGTTAAGATTACGATTGATTAATTGGCCTTGATGTTGGCCAGGGGAGGAGGAGTGGTTGAATATATTTCTTCTGTACACATAGCTCCGGTTTCTTCATCCGGATGGGTATTGCTTCAGCTGTTTGAAGGACTTTCAGTCTGACCAGTTTGAGCAAAAAATTACTGACCTTATAAATAATTGAAAAAGATTGGTTTATACTGGCATTATGACCAGTTTGTACTAAATGGGCTAATATTGAGCTGTTCACTTTCTTCATCAAACCTTTGTTATGCCACGCTGGAAGGTGTTCACGAGCACGAAAATGTAAATTCCTAGAACTTCGACCAATATAATTCGCTCCACAGGAGCAGTCGAACTGATAAATGCAAAATGAGGTGGTCATTCTAGGTAATTAATTCATCTTTTAGTCTCGGTGTAACCATTGGGCGCCTAGAGTCAATTCTGAGATTGTAGCTACTTGCCTAAACCAACCGGTTCAGCCCAGGACAGCAATATCATCTTCCACTGTATGAATAATATATTTCAGACATACTTGGTTTATATACAAGCAAACCAAACTACATCATACCAAAAAATAACAATTATACAAGATCAAGCCAAAAAGTGGTTGTGACTGTGAAAGACTATTACTGATAAATTGGAAATAACTTAAGGATAGCAAATATTATCATAGTAGTCAATAGGTCAAATAAAAGCTAATGATAAAAGGAACATAAGTGTTAGCGGGACATAGATTGGATTTAAGCATGCTCAATGCACGATTGCTTTGGCGCACGCTGATTGGCTGATTCTTATCCAATCAGCGCTAGTCGATACATGGAGAAGACTTCTTATGTAAAAACTATAAATATACTAACGGTTTTCCTTTTGTGCTTCTCACTTCCATCTAACCTTGTTATTTGGATTATAATCTCCTTCCTGCTCCACCGTGTTCTGATTTGGGCCTTGTCGAGTGAATCTGTGTTCGTGAATACCAAGCAATAGGAATAGCTGGGTTAAAACCGTAAGGGAGAAAATATAACAATAAGTATATATCATCTAGTTACTTAGGTTATACAATAAGAATGTATGTGATAACAATTCCCGTAAGTTACCCATAACTTAATGTTCTTTGGATATAAAAAAGTATTAAACTCATCAGTGGCACATATCCTTAAACTTTTTAGTGATTTCCTAACATTTTACTAAATTGGAATGATGGAAAAGACATTTAACTTTAAAAGTTTGTGTGAATGATGTTGTCTAGGAAAATAATCAAAGCTACACGGCTAAATCATTCAGCTTCAAATGACAAAACTTAAAATAAATTACTTACCCGCTACGTTTACAGTTTTCAAATTTAATTCTTTAAAAAAATCTATATGCCAATTAAATTTGTCTAGTCAAGCAAAATCAAAATATTTTAACTGTTTTCCTACTATTTGTGTATCGTATTGATAGGAATAGGTTTCTAATGATTAAAGCATTTTAAAAATTGTTTGATTATGAATTATGGTTTACAAATGTTATGACAATATTGATAGGTGTTTATTTACCCCACGGTTGAAAATTAGTGAGTCTGTAGTACACTCCAAAAACGTTTATGTTAAGGATTTTACTTAGACTCTGTCTTCACTTTTCGTCCTCTTGGACTTTAGTGTTCTGAATGATTGTCTATTCTACTTTTGTATGGTATTTATCTAAAATATGGTCTTTTTATGTAGACACAAAAATGATGTCTTTACTATGGTACTATCGTCCTGAACATATATCTGGCGCATCACACAATTTTGTCAAGAATGAACTTTATGCAAGCAGACATCGTGACACTAATCCACTTGATTGTATAGAAGACAAGGCATATGTACTTTCAGTTAGTGCATATAATCGTTATATGGCAAAGCTTAAACGTCAACAGGTAAGTTTATTTTTCTAAATGAAGTATTTCTTGTAATCTCTTCGAATTTTACATTATTCTAGAATGACATACTAAGGGGATTAATAGTGCAATATATACTATGTAATTTTTTCTGTTTTTTTCGTGAGCTGAAATTTCACGGTTTCGTGGTTGACGTTTATTCATATATTCTAAAGCTTCAAACGGATGAACTGAGTATTTCGAAGTCCACAAATAAGAGCCCTTAAAGAATAATTTGTATTTATAGTTATTACAGTTATAAATCTCTGCTTTGACTGTGTGACATGTGTTCAGATCAGCTTCTGTCTCTTAATAGAACGTTGCTGAATTACATTTATATACTGTTCACTGCTTAAATTATAAATAAGGATTTAGCCTAATCTAAATCGCTTACCAAACTAAATAATTCAGGATAGACATATTGGAACACATAATGTAGGTCCGAACACAAGTTTGTATTGGTTCAAAAGATCTCACTTAACAGCATAGCGAAACGAAAAGTAAAGGATATGTTATCTCCAATTATTCTGCATCTAACATCAAAATTCTCCATCGAAATGCACTAGCAATGTTTTAGAGACACTTATCTTTACATATATAGAGGAATGGTGAGGGGATTACTTCACTATGTAGTCTTTGAGTCAATGAATTTCCAGTCAAGTAATCAATTCTTAGGAGGGAAATTCACAACGAAATAAGTAAAAATGGGTAAAGCTGAGAGTATTTAATAAGATTTGATCTAACTTCAAGTGTTCAAATAAAGAGAATTTAGTAAGCTAATAGCACATCTTTCAACAGCAAATAATGCTACAAATCATTTAATATCGAGAGAACAGAATGCCCTCTTCAAATTATTTAGTGGAGATACAATTGAATGTTGGCATATATGCCAGTGAATTGTAACTTTGATAAACTCCATCACCTTCGGTGCTCAAATATTGTCTTTTTGAGTTTTCGCGTACGCTCTGGCTCATTGACAGCTGTGGTTTTGGTTTTGACATCTGTATAATAACTAAGTAGGCAAGTATTACGTTTAACTCAGATTTAATTCTAGTAAATTATGTTTCCATGTAATATTTCAGACGGGCTATCGGAAGATTCCACTTAGTTCCATTGTACCTCAATCTATACAGTGTGGGTTACATGATAGTAACAGTTCAAACGAGAACTTTTTCATGGATAAAGTAAGTTCAGGATTCTCAACAGAGTTCCTTGTTTTTACACATACTACTTATATTCCACAAATTAACGTTTGCTTTGATGATACACTTTTAATAGACAAATAGTTTTAGTCAAATTTATTTCAAAATGATTAGAATTATATAGTGTGTTAATCGCGTTTAAGTGACTGTACTGAGCTGTTAAACGAGAATAAAAATATTGCTAAGATTAGAATACTATTAGACTTTATTGCATATGATCAGCATGGATAACCTCAAGCTTGATGAGCATACACATTTTGTTTGAAAAGTTAATGCTATCATTCAACGTAAATTTAAATTAAATATAAGTTGATGTCTAGAATTATCGTATTCTATTGTAATTGTTTGTTTTATTACACTAGTCTAGTTTCTTCCAACCATTATTTTTAAATTTAATGTACTGGATGTTAGATATCGTATAGATAACTATTGTACAAGATTTACCTTATTATAATTACATTGATGGGATGGCTTTGGGACTAAAGTATTCAACTTCGTATTGATATATTAAAATTGGAATTTGTCTTTTTTTCTGATTAACAGAATGGTATCACCAGCTCTCATATCAAAAGACTGAAAACTGATTTCACAATTTTATACTCAACTACTCGGTAGTTGGATTAGACTTAATTGCGCTAAAACTATATGATCGACTCTAATTTGTTTATCGTACCCCAATTTTGTTGAAATAGTTATAACTTCTCATTTGAAATGTATAGTTTCTGATGAACTCATCAACTTTGATGAAAATCTGTATCAGTCAAACCATTAAATCAGTTAATTAAATTTAGCATTTTCTTCACTGTTTTATCGAAGTATATTTCGTAGATTTAAGTGTATTGTTTTTGCATCGGGTTATTCATTTGAATCCATCTTCATTCATGTTTGAACAATTATAGAATATCGTTAGCAATACTCATACGCCATTGCATACACTTAACAAGTTACATTTGCGCACTTGTGATTCTGTGTCGTAAGCGTAATAAATGTATATGTTCTAAAACATATGTCTTTGCTATATTTCATTGAACCATTCCATACAATTTATTACCTAGTTCAGTAGACAATAATATGAAGCCTGTGAAGGTTTGTATGTTTCTAAGATAGTTTTCATTGTGTACTGATATCAGAACCATTCAACATTGGATTAGTGTTTCATTGTGGCTTCGGAGACACTCCGAATTCCAGAGTTCTAAGCGATAATTGTTTGATTCTACTCTGTGATTCCATTTTTTCTCTTCCGTGAAACCTGAATGTATGGGGTTTATTACTTTGTAGGATCATTGATAAAAATTATTGAAAAATCTTAAATTGATCAGAAAAAACCACCCATTAGCTTCTAGTTTTAATGGTTCTCTAATTGATATTATTTCATGATAAAAATCTGCACAAAAATTTGAAAAAAACTTCGAGGTCTATTTTTATTTTTTGAAAATCCATTTTTATTGATGTTTCATTTGTATTTATATCTAGTTGATTTACTGTTTTTGTAATATATCTTTTTTTGCAGCAGTTGTTATCTGAATGTGATGAATGTTTTAACAATGTCAGTTGTCAAAGTGTTTTCTTCTGCCGTGGTTTGTATGATTATAAACTAAAACGTGTTACTAAATACCCTGTATTTGGAAATCAGTGTATTTTATCTTCTCATTTTGTTAATCGGCCCAAACTTTGTGGACAGCATTTTACATCGCCAGCAACAACATTAACAACGAAAAATGTTACTGAACATAATAACTTGGATATTTCAAATGATCATTGTTGTGACACATCCGTTTCTCTTAAGGATGATGCTCATAAAATCGTTAATGCAATTGAACCCATAACTTCGTTGGATGAAAGTGTACCCTTTACAGTGTGTTCAACGTCTATAGTTTCTATGGGGAAAAATACAAACACCACAATATCACCGTCTCAACTTGCCGAAAATGATTGTCATTTCGTTGATAATTCTCATATAAACGGAGAATGTGAGCGTTTATCCTATGGCGATCATGAAGGCAGAACATCAACTCCTGTAAAAAATCGTGGTCAATATAAAGCTGTTGAAGAAAGTATAACAACTGTTGTCGAATCGCAACAAACCTTGATTACCGAAAACAACTTAAATGATCCACCTAAAGTGTATTCGACTGATTCATGCGTTAAAATCCCTAAACCAGATCTATTAATTTCAGAAATTCGTGTAACTTCACCAAATGTAGAGTCCCAATTTACTTCATGTTCATCTTTAGAGAAAAAACTGTCTAAGGTGACTGAAAATTCCATCGTGCAGCCACTGGAAACCAATTGTTCATCAACTGTGGTTGAACAACTATGTGAAAATAAACCAGCAAACCACTTTGCAGGTCAGTCTAACTTCTCACCTGTCCAACCTGTATGGCCAGTAGTTACTACATCTGTAATCAGCTGTGATAGGTCTGTCCTTGAAAGAAGTGCTGATATATCAGTTAATTGGGGTGAGCATGGTGAACAGATTGCTTTGTCTCTTGATTGCAGGATTAAAGAGAATAATCTTAATGGCAACAGTCAGATAACATCACATCTTACTATGTCTTCGGAATCTCTAGGTCCAACACAATCATTTATTGATATGACAAAATTACCTGTACATCCTAATCCAATGCATTATTCCAAAATTAACTCAAAATGTCTTGATCAAGATCAACCACGTCTAGTAATACTTTAAGTTGTTTCCAATCATAAAATTTCAGTTTACATCACCGTAAACAGATTACCTAAAATTAAATCTTAAAAAATGTAAGGAAACTCCCCATTTTAATTGTGACATACATTTTCATCTAGTTTTGTCCTACCGTACAACTGTTTAATAAAAGGGGCATCACTGTGAAGTTGTACTACTGAAATTCTCTTTCGATTCAGTGAAAGATTGATGACACTATTAACTCTTTCATACTACATTTCACAGATTATTGAAACTAGTTACACTATTATTACAAATCTACTACCTAATTTAGTTTTTTTTTTGTTAACTTTAACTAATATTGTCACATATATTCATTTATCAAAACAAACAAATTTTCTTTTTTCAATCTGCTAAATGAATTGTTCTGTCTAACTTTTTTTTCATTGTTTCTTTTTGTGTGTGATTATCATTATCTATCAGTTGTATATTTCTCATTTACTACTCCTTCAGATAAAGAATGCAGCATTCTCAGTTTTGTTTTTCTATTTCTACTCATGTAATGTTTGTTTCAGCTTTTCGTTTTTAAGGTATATATATATATATATATATATATATATATATATATATATATATATCACTAATCCGTCGATAATGTGCTGTCCTTTTATGTACACTGAAATAGTATATCATACTTTTTATCTTAGAATTTATTCTATTTGTTGAATTCATTGTGTATATTTTCATTTAAATAAGAATTGAGTGTTTATTTTGAAAGATATGAGTTAATTCTGAACTTATTCACACGGTTGTACCGCAATTTATCCTAGTGTGCATGGACGTTTTCCGGGTCATTAAAAAAAATTCATTTTCTAGAGAAACAAACTGTAGAATGTAAATTATGACTTTTTCTATCACGATTCCGATTGCCTATTAGTTAAATATCTTGAACTATAGTAAGAGTAACTTATAGATTTTTGATAAACTCAATTAAAAAATACAACTCTCCCTCCAAAATCCATGAAAGATTGACTCGTGAAGTGGTGAATCTCGCCTAGAGAAAGACTTCTCGACCATGAATATGCGAATGATATTGTCTTACCCAAGCCATGCAATCCACACTTAACCAACTGCCAATCCGTGTCCGTAGGTATGGTATGTGCTTTACACGTTCTAAGTGCAAAGTACCCTTACAAGAATGGCTGAACCTGCACTCCTTGGTAGTGAGTAGATACAGGTAGTTGAGAAATCATGTATCTGGGTGGTTGTGAAATTGCTGTTGGTGGAATGAGTGATGAAATCGATCCACGTATGGTGAAAACCAAAGCGGCTTATGCCGAATCAAATTCGAAATTGTATATCATACTCAACAGTGGTATTCGCTATAGGTAATAATATATGAAATATTTGTACATTTATTTACATTGAAATGGAAGACCTGAATGTAATCAGACTGGAATATGTTCGGTTTTTTCAGTAGTTTCGATTTCTGATGCTCGGAAAGTGTCTGAGATGTGAGAAACATTGTTACACAACACAAATATATCTCATCGTTTTATCCTTTGTTTCTAGCAGCTGCTATCGTTTCCCATGTTCTTTAAATATCACATATGATACAACCGATGGGAAACGTTAGAACTCATTGGTTATATTAGAATGCATAGCACATGCACTGAGCTGCTGGAATTTCAGAGGCCAAAAGTTATACCGTGATCGCGGAGAATTAATGACAAGCGAAAATATGGCTCCATATACATTTTTTGATTAGTGTAAAATTATAATGAAAATGATTTGTCTAATGCCTGAATAAATTTTTCGACGCTATTCCTCAGAACAAGTAGAGAAAGCCTCTTACTGAGGTTCTGCAAATATAAATTTTTTCTAATGTATACATAGTGTTAGTTAAAATCGTTCAAGTTATTATAAAAATCTTGTTACGTCCTATGGTGTATTCAAGGTATTTTCGTGTACCATAATCTAAAGATGTAGCACATAGGTATTCTTACTGTTCATCTAACCCTAAATTATTGAACATCATCCTATTAGTTCATCCTTTTGAATACGTTATTTGTTGATTCTATGTACTACATTAAAGTACAGCGGCATGGTGTATCCTAGATCCAAATAATGTAAGATAGATTGATATGAAGATCCCATGGGAAAGAAGTTTCTGGAACATCGAATGGAACGGTAGCGAAACACTGAGACTAGGATCACATGGCTACATGATGATTTAACTGAATACAAATAGGTGATAATTAGGGACAAATTAGTATAATCTCCGTTGGTTGAATGATGACTTAAAGAGTTTAAGGGTGTTACTACAAGAAGATTCGCTCAGAAAAGATATATTGGGAAGGAAAAGAAAGGTCTATGATTGTTTCCTATTAAACATGGGTTTCGAGAGCATGATGGCCGTAGTTTCAACCAACTTGGGATAAGGTTGGTTATTAATCACAAAGGTATGTGTCAAAGTATCTAATAAACGTACAGAAACCACACTATTGGACACTTATCTACATGTTCAAGGGATATAGGGTAGGTTCTTTCTGTTCTTCCAATTTGACTGCTTTGGCAGATACATGTAGAGTGATAAACAGTACTGAAGGTATGAAAAATCTTCTGTATGTTGTTTAATTTAAAAAATTAATCGAACAGTAATGTAGTTCTTATTAGGGATCTGTGAAAACGGTCGAAAAGTATATTGTGAACACGAGTTGGATATTCATGGAAAAAATCCGGCAATGAAATTTAGCCAGACTAGTTAACTATCTGTCTTTCTTCATGTAGGCTATACATTTTTATATTAATCAATCAGTAGAATATAGCATACGATTTAGTTTTTATGCATTGGAATAGATTCTATCAGCCAAGTTAACTAGCTTAACGCTGGAGTACAGTTAATACCATAACTATTTCAGCGAAATAGTTATTCTTTTTATCGATTTCATCTCTAGAATCTGCACAATCACATCTACATGAGATGATTCATGTGATGAACGGGTTCGTATTCATGGGTATAATGAATGGAAATCCCTGTGTGCTGTTCAGTAATAGTTGGGTGGAACAGGACAACATCGGATATGAAGACATCATGGGACGACATGGACTGGAAGAAACGAAAATGGTGAGAGATTTGCAAACCTATGTGCCTTCAATAAACTGCTCATAGGCGGCACTATTTACTCACATAAAAGCATACACAAAGCCACATAGACTTCACCGGATCACACTACGCAAAACCAAATCGACCATATCTGCGTCAACAAAAGGTTCAGGAGGACGTGAGAACCAAGAGAGGAGCTGGTATAGCATCAGATCATCACTTGCTGGTCGCCAAGATGAAATTGAAACTTAAAAAGCACCGGACAACGGGGTGGACAATACAACACAAGTTTAATACGGCTCTTCTTCGGGATACTGACGGACTCAACAAATTCAAGATAGCCCTCAGCAATAAGTTCCAGGCCTTTCACAACTTACTCAACGGAGAAGGAACTACTATGGAGAGCAACTAGAAAGGGATAAAAGAGGCAATCACTTCAACATGTCATGAGGTTCTGGGCCACACACAACAAGCACCATCACAAGGAATGGATCACTGTTGATACACTGGATAAGATTCAAGAGAGGAGGAACAAGAAGGCAGCAATAAATACCAGCCGAACAAGAGCAGAAAAAGCAAAGGCAAAAGCTGAATGCACAGAAGTAAACAAGCAAGTGAAGAGGAGCATCAGGACCGACAAACGTAAACACATGGAAGATTTGGCAATGACGGCGGAAAAGGCTGCAAGAGAAGGAAATATGAGACAATTTTCCTGGTGATCGACTGGATCACGAAGAAGTCAACAGTGTTTTCTCCTGACCACCTCACAGAAGTTATTGACTATTTGGTTGCAACATTTGGTTGTTCGTGTTCTAATAATGCGCACATCTGAGCAAATCAGTTGACAGATATCTAAACATTAGTTACACAAATTTAGGCAATTTGTATACAATAGTCTGGACACACATTGAAGAAAGCATCCAACTTCGTTACAAGGCAAGCCCTCACATGGAATTCTCAAGGCCAAAGGAAAAGAGGAAGACCAAAGAACACATTACATCGAGAAATGGAGACAGACATGAGAAGAATGAACAAAAATTGGATAGAAGTGGAAAGGAAGGCCCAGGACAGAGAGGGTTGAAGAATGCTGGTCGGCAGCCTATGCTCCATTGGGAGTAACAGGCGCAAGTAGGTAAGCAAGGAATAGGTTGGGGGGGGGAATATATTCGGATGTAACAAATTAGGCATAAGGTAACATCTGATGCAAAGATAAAAAAGGCCAATATAGAGCGAAAAAACTACGCAAATGCAAATAAAGGAATATCAATGAAACTATGGCCACACTGAACACAGCAATCTTACATACTGTTTTTATAAGCATCAATCCATTTTCACATTGTTATTGGGAAGGTTTCTGCAATACAAAAAGGTCTGCATTTGCCTTTAGACGGATTCAGTTTGATTTTTCAGATGATCTCGTATTCTGAATCCGACACTGTGTGATTATAATTAATTACATACTGTAGGATAGATGACTTCAAAATTTTGGATTATCCTTTATAGAGATATATGCTGTCAAGAAATTACTATACTTGCTATCATTGAACGTAAAACGATTTTATTATGTTTCATACCATGCGAAATATAAATAACTGGTGTTATTCACATCTAATATTTAACAAATACATTGTATACTATAATACATGATAGTGTATTCCAAAAATAGTGAACCTCAATCAAACAAATGAAAGGATTATATGTTTTTTTATTTTATCGTCTTCCCTCAACCATGATAATATGATATCCGTATTGTGTTTTAACTGGAGGATCACTGTACTTGGGATTTTCTAAAGTTGATATAGGTAAGTTAAATGCTGCATCCTATGAAAATTTTCCAAAAAAAAGAACATAATAAGAATAGATATTTCTCTGGTAAAACAATATAACAATGCTTAATAAATATGAATAATGGATTTTACATGAGATCGATTAACAACACTGATATAAGCTTGATTGCGAGGTTTGTGTAAAAATAGTTTAATTCTGAATAATTTTTTTGAGCGATGATTGATATCGTCTGAGATACCATTTAAATCTATAGAAAAATAAATAGCTGTGCTAAATTCTTGATCACTGTCCAATTATAACCATAAAAACTTTAAGTTTCATGATGAGTGCGTTAACACTGGCATAAATCCTCAAGTTCAATCAATTCCAGATGTAATGCAACAATTGTTTAGATTGAACTATGAATCACTACCAAATAATGAATTTCAAATTGATGTAAGTTTTGATTAGAACTTTGGAAATCCACCTTGAAGCCAGTCAATATCGAATATATAATTAGTATCAAGTTTGGAGATTTAATAAAGATTAATGCATTCAAATGCGCTGGTACGGTCGAGAGTGCGAAGAGGTCCGCTCTCCCTCTCGAAATGCTCTAACATAGCCACGCGTATATAGCCTCTGCCAGGGAAGTCCTACTCACTGCCTTCTCGTGGCAGGGGCGTTGTTTACGAAAATGAGAGGACGAAAAGCAAATGTCCGGCGCTTTAACTGGATCCCAAACCAATGGTGCACATGGGCTCCAGTATCCTGAAGGAACAAATGGTGTATGAACCAATCGTTGGTCACCGGCTACCATGGGACTGCATCTCCTCACGATGCTCCACTGCCTTGTGGGTCAGACGTTCAGGTCGAAGGCTCGGGGTGTGGCCCCCTAAGAAAACCACCTGCTTCGGTTTGGGCACCGGGCAGTATCACAGCCCTCACACAAATCAATTGAGATTCGTGTTGCGCATATGTATTTGTTGCCTCCTTGTACAAATGCCTATGTGTTAAAAATAAATAATAAAATAATTCCATTCGAATACAATTTTTGAGAATGATTTTATAGTTCGAATCTATGTTTTGTTTTACTTTCTTCTACGAGACGTAACCCCATGTAAATTCATTATTTTATTAAAAAGCAAATATATTTTTTATCATCATTTGAAACGATAGTTATACTGTTTATGTTTTCTTTGGTCTCAGAACAGAAACAGAGCATAGGAATAATTTTGTAATATTGATAAAAATTTTGGTCAACACCATCAATATTCTCTTTATCAAACTTAGAGATAATAATAATATTGATTATTTCAATTGAAATCATTATTTTTGTTTTAGTCTTCAACAGTACACAAATTAAACTGACAAAAATGTATATGATATGAATAGTGGTTCATATTTGTTGTAATTACAGAAGATTTCCGATTATTTATTATGAAAACAGAAATATATACAAAGTGCAAATTATAAGTTTGGTAGTAACAAATGAAAAAGAAAAAATATTTTCTTTATAGAATATCAATATATTTTGACAATGTCAATAACTTTTAAAGTTCCAACAATAGTGAATGTATTAATCTGGTTGACTGATAATTAAAAAAAACGGTAATACCAAGATGATGTTCAATAATTGAAAACTAACCAAATGAAGCTACACAACGATGAATCCAAATGATAATTGATAAGTTTTAACTAGTTTTAATTTGTTTAATAATGAACACTAACGGTTCCTTATCCCAATTTTTTAAAACTGAGTAATCCAAAAAAATAGATAAGGTTTTGATAATTTATTAAAGATATGAAAGATAAATCATTAAACTGAGAAGTAGTTGCGCTTAAATACGTTTATATTGCTTTTTGAAAGTATGGTTAAAAAATTTTAAAGCATAATTGAACAATTAGGGTATACCAGTATGAATAAAACTAGCTTTGTATAGAGAAGAGTGATGGACAAATGTGATATAAACAAATTTAAAGGATACTTAATATTACGACTCTTGAAAAATACCCGGTAAAAATAAAATGTGTAAAATATCGAAAAATCAAGCAAACAACCGAAATCCGAAAAAAAACATTTACTAAGAAAAAGTAACAATATTTTTTGTGATATCCTAACAGGTAGTAATTTGTATTTCTAATGTTTCGTGACTTATAATATAAGTCAATACATCAGAGGAAGGAAATACCACATCAAAATACTTGTATATAATAGTAGCTTTAATAAATTAAAAGAAAAGTCATTCTATTGATTCTCAACATAAAAATTTATTAGGTTCACCACGAATGAGTTGCTTGCATTGGTAACACTCTGTTAGGTCCCGATAAACATAATGAATGGTAATTTTGGGATCCATTTATGGATCAATACTAAACGTATATTTTTATCGTATAGTTGTTGAAGGACTAAACTATTCATATTCCTCTTATTATAAGCTTTATTTTGACCTATGAACCATTATTATACGTTCTTCCATTCTTGAATTATGCCCTGTTTATTAGTCACTGCCTCCCGCATTCACAGCCACGTTTAGTCAAATTTTGTACAAATGTTATTTCCTATTTTATGGTACGTTGTGGTCTGCTTGTTTGGTATATAGACCGAGTGTGTTTGGTGTTCTGGACTCAACTGGCTGGGCTAGGGAGAAAGCAGGGCCAATCAGGCCTCTAGGCTGCTCGTACGCGTTTTACGCGTCATTGATCCGATCGATAAGTCACTGCTCCCTAATTGGCGGTATCATTACTTATCCATTAGCAGGGCACACAGGTCACAAGTTATAACACACTCTCAGTCTCCTAATATTAGAGTTAATAGCGAAGATATAAGGAGAAATATCAAGACGATACATTTTGATGGATACACAACTATAAATAATACAGAAAGCACATGTGATAAACTTAAAAGCTGTAACAAAATCATTATAATGTTGCAGTTATTGTAAGAGAAATTATTTAAAATCATTTAACCTTGATACTATAGATTGCTTCAGACTGTTTTCTACAAAAACAATAATCAATAAAAAAGTTTAGGCTGATTATTTATAGAAATTTTCGTATCAGTACAGTTCATGTTAAAGTGATCGATTTCAAAGGTACTGGATTAATAGATGTATATAATTCTGAGATTTATAATAAGAAAATATTATGAATAATACAATGTTACCAATGATGGTATAAATTTCGAGTAAGTTGATGTTATCATGAGGTAGAAAATAAAAGTATTTGAATTTTCAATGCATAGTCGCAAGTAAATTAAATTATAACTAACTTGAAATGCACCAACCATTGATCCACGGGACATCCATCCTAGATCACCCCCTGAACGAGCTTTATCTTCACTGTACATTTCTGCTACTTGATTAAAACGCTTACCATTTTTAAGTTGTTCCAAAGCTTCTAAGCATTTACTTTGTTTTTCGCATAGTATATGACGTACCTTAAATAACAGTAAATTACAAAAGATTGTATTAAAAGCATATAATAAGGCGTAATCTAAACAGAATAGCTAATTATTACAGTACCCCATGGGTTTGAAATTGGTTTCAGGATAACCAGGTCAATTTAAAAGAAGAGATTAAATTATTTTTGAACAAATGAAAGGATTAAACATTCTAATGGTCAAGGCTTCTACAAAACTATAAATGTAAGACTAATTTTGCATACAGATTTTAAGGTTTTCCTAAGGTCAATCTTAGTTACTGCAGTAGTATTCGGCAGTTATAATTAATTCTTGACAGTTTAACACTCATGTGAACGATGATATATGAAGTGTACGTATTACGTAGGATGTTAACATTAAATGGCAAGACATGTAAAAATTTATCTTGTTTTGTTACAGGGAAATAACAAACATTAACTAGGATAGAAAGTAGTTACCATTGAATCGTAATCAAAACTTTAAAATTGCGAATAAATATTAGGTAAAGAAATAGGAAAGGATATAAAGTTAAGATAATTCCAAAAAGATTAAAGAAAAAGATAGTATTATTTTCTCCACTAGTGATATTTATTTAAACTAAATGTTGCTGTAACCAACTACAACATGACAGGACAATAATATCTGATTAATTGATACTAGGTATTGTGCATAAAGTGACAATGACCTTACAATACGCCTTTAATACAGGATTTACATCTTATTATTAGGTGTCTTTATTGTTTAAATAAAGTAATCTATATTCCTAATCCACTGACAATGTATGTTCATTTAAAAGTTCTTAATCAATCAAAACTTTAAGTTGGTTATCAGCTGATGAAATATTCATTTTAAAAGTTTAAATCACGAGCCGATCTAAGATAGATCACCATTGAAAACCTGGAAGCACTGAACGACCGTTTCGTCCGAATATGGGACTCCTCAGCAGTGCGCATCCGCAAAGTGATAAGAGAAATATTTATTAGAGATTAGGATTCATTAGATTATTGAGCTGAAACTAAGTTGTTTGTTTGCGTTTGGAAAACCAGGTAGTATCAACGAATGTGATAAAACTAATTGTATCTTGTCTCCTCGTGGAAATTTTTAGTAAACACGTGAAAAGTCTGTTTAGAAATGAAAAAAACATTAGAGTAAGTGCGCGGCTCAGATATGAGTATATAGTAAATGAGTTATATTATGTAGTTCAATAACCAATATACATATCTTTAACTGTAGTTTGAAACGAAATGTAGCACTATTGAAGAAATTTAACGACACCATTGGGAAACAACTACTTTCAATCCATATGAACTGGTTCGAAAGATGAAAACATAAACTGTTCTACTAGTTTAAGGTTTGTTACATTTCAATTTGTCGGTGAAAAGAAAGTATACCTACTTAAAGTCTTTCTCAAATCAAATATTCAACACCATAGATAACAATAATTGCAGTGAATCACGATCAAAGTAGTAAATCAGTCAACTTGAAGGTATAACTATCATACTGAGTGAGCTAAGTGGATTTTATCAGTGATCAATAAGTAATGACAATAACGGTTAACACTCCATTGACTTTGTAAATAAAAAGTCAAATATTCTAGGACATCATAGATCTAATATAAAAAATAAAGGGACTATTCCACAAATGCCCCAAAACGTAAATGAAAAGATTGAATTCGAAGTAAACACAATTTGTTTTGACTGTCAAAAAAAAATACGTATAACAACCAACAAAGCATTTTGTCATGTTATATATATTACCTTCACTGCATTTGCCAATTTGGACTGTTTACCAGAGCCGGCTGACGAGGCATTATCAGTTTTATTGTTAGAATTAGTTGAATTTTTTCCACTCATCTTACCACTTTTAGATTTGTCACTTTTAGCAGACGACTTTGGCATGATATTATTTATATTATTAGTTCTAGCAATAGATGTGAAAGATAAAAGCAAAATAAAATTGGTTATTCAGTGATCCAATAAATACTTATTATTATTCTGAAATGGTTATATGGAAAGGAAAAAAATGTAAATGATTTATAAATTAAAAGTCAACTTAATACAAATTTGGTTAGGTAGTTAATGGTGTTTTGTTTAATCTGGTAGTTTATCATAGACAAGCCGGTTGGACAACTGGCAAGGAATGAATGACTTATTTCGTCACCGTTTGAAACTAATGGGAAATGTGAATGCATTTGGATACAGATTTCCAGTAATCCTTAACTCTAACTGAAGAATTTGCAATTAAGAAAACTGATCAAGGTTGAGTCATTGAAAATAACTTTGTTTACAAGAAATTGAGTACTCCGAATGTATTCTCTTTTATTCAATAACCTTAAAAATCAGATCAATCAGAATAATTACAAACATATATATATATATATATATATATATATATATATATATATATATATATATATATATATATATATAGAAATGGACGAACGTGTAAAAGAAAAACATATAAGAATGTACATGAATTCTTTTATCTTTCCAATTTAAATTATAAACAAATGAGGAAAATTATTAAAAATTACTATTCTGAGGAAAAAGAACAATAGTCAAACTATCAAAGAAATAATATTAATAATAATATTAAATTTTTACAAGAAATAAAGAAGCTGCCACTAATATAACTGTCACATAATTAACTTGATTCCTAATCCCTCGCGTCTCTGTAGACCCCTATTAAGACCAAAAAAAATTAAAGTTGTTGTTTAACGTAATACATTTAGTTACAATCAAATATTAGGAAACAAAACAAAATATCATCTATGGATTTAAATCACACAGATCATTCAAAAAAGTCCGGTGTTTATTCGTTTTTTCCTTCCTTTTCTTTCTGGTTTACTAAAAAGGATAAAACATATTAAGTCATCACTTACATTTTAATATTACTTTCATAGTATTTAAGAAACATAAAGGAGAGAATAACAGAAATTCAATATTTCAGCACTTAATAATAAAGAGCAAGTTGCTAACGAGTGACCAGAGAAAAAAAAGAAAACAATACATAAGATTCATAAAAATGGACTAAATAATAGAAAAGTAGGAATAAACAGTGATTATTATTAACACATACAAAAAAATTAATATTTTACAGTAAGTGGAAAAAAGAGCACAAAATTATATTCAATACAATCATTGTTATCGAGGTCAGTGTAAATTAAATAACGTTCTACAAAAGTATACACATATATGTATAACAAAATATTTAAATGATCTGATGTTTTTCATTTTACCATAAAGGAATGTTAATAATAATAATACAGTAATTTCAGAATGTTTGAATAAGTGAATATATATTTGTGTATTATAGTACTGTTTACTTAAATTTATCTAGTGTGTAGTACACAATTTGTTAGTATGTTAATAATATCAACAAACAATGAAGACAAAATAAACAAATCAAAGTGAAATGCGTTTTTGTTTTATTTTTTAATTCACTTTTAAAAGTTTTATTAAAAATATTTTACAGAATTGATTTAAATTTAATGTAATAAATTTAATGCACCAGTATCACTTCCTATTAATAATAAATTATTTTCTGATAATAAACTTATGGCACTAATGGAACCACGTAGAAAATGTGAAGAAATTCTGCCTAAAGTATAAAAGTTTTCATTTACATTAATATTATCATTATATTTGAAAGGATATGAATAAGTTGCTAATATTGTTCCACTATTATTATTAGTAGTATTAGTATTGTAGTATGGTTGTGGTACTGTTGTAACAGTTGACAACTGTGTAGTTGTTGTCTCGTTTATTATGGATGACAATGATGGTTTATCTGCGTTAGTAGTTACATTATTTGTTCCTCCAACTCCACTTCCACTGCCAAAAATCGGAAAACGACTTGTACTCGGTAATGGATATGATGAAGGTAGAGAATTAGCACAAAAAATAGGATTTTCTTGATATTTAGTTAAACATGTGATATTCTGGAGCGTTGATGGGATTCGAATAGATTTTGGTTTTAAAACAATTGTGGGTTTATTCGGTAAATAATTAAAATTTTCTAATTCACTATATGAAGGTGATAATGAATTCTGATTGGATATTGATAAAGTAGTTGGATTAATAAATGACAAACTTCGATCGTTACATGATATAAATCCATTTGAAAGATGTGGGATAATCTAAATTGAATAATAATATCAATATATGAGGAGTATTACTATACGGAGCTTAGTATGTAATTGATTTAATATGGTACAAAAAATCTGGAGTAGATAATTAACGAATCAACTGTTTACTCAGAGGCGTAATTTAATCTTCCTTGTTAATAACTTAGATGACAGAATGAAAAATCCGTAAGTAAAGTATGCAATCTGTTCCACTGAAAGTGAAGGTATTCCACCAAAAGCGGCAGAAGCATTCCATGTGATCGAACTGTTAAATATTGAGTCATTGAAAACTGCCAGAAAACTCAATTGACCAAATGAGTGTCGGTGCAGTTAGTGAAATCAATCTACTTATGGTAAAATGCAGGACGATTATGAGAATCTAGACCATATTTGTCGTTCTTACATTAAGGATGACAAATAAAGGTCACCTGTTTAACTGGAATTTTGAAAATTTTGAACGTAGAATAATCATTTGATAACTTGCTTCATTTTAGTATAATACGTTAGTGTTTTCACTCAATTTCATACTTGGCATATTATATCAATGAAAGATTTATTCCACGTCCATGTTGAAACATTAAAGCTCGAATCATTATGTTGGCATCAAGCAAGATGAGCGGTAGTTCGACAAGCGAAGAAACATACCCTAAGTATACAAATCATGCATAATCTAATAGCTTTTGTAGACGATTCCAAATAACGGATGAAATATTTTTATGTGACACTTATCACAAACACTTGCAAAATTCATTTGAGTTCTTATATAAAGAATATTTTCTATTAACCTCATTTTTGTTATTAACAATGTAGAGTTGTGTGATAAATCATTAACCGAACAGTATACACATTGGAAAAAACATTAGTTTCACCCTTTACAAGTGTGGAAACTCTTATTTAAGGTGTACATAGTGTTTTAAAATTTTCCATTATAGTAGAGATAAGTTTAAGAAAACAAATAAAACCATAAAACAAAAACGAGAAACAAATTACTCACATCGACTACTGAATCCTGATATTCTTTACATATGTGAATAACTTGTCCCATTCGTAGATCTAATGCGGTAATTATGCCTGTTGTAAAACCACACAATAAATAATAACCATTTCGACTGGTTGTTAAACAATTTAGCAAACCAGCCATATTTGTATTAGCATTGAGTAGAGAAGAAATCGGCGAATTACTATTTGTATTAGTAAACGAATTAACTGATAAATGATATGGTTGAAATTGATTAGTTATGTTTATCATAATATTTGTGATAAATAAATCCATTGTAGACTGATTGTAAAAAGGAGGAGCTGTTGAATGGATAAAATGAAGGTAAAAAAAAATACAGGTAAGAAATATGTAACGAAATCTAAAAACAGTCCGTCAATTAAAAACATACAGCTCTTTGAACAGAATCTTTTGATAATTAAAGAAAACAGTGATTTAGTAGTAAAAGAACTCGGCTTTCAACTATTAGATCACACATCCAAGGTTCCTTCAATTATATATTCAGTTTATACGTTTAGGTGAATACCATTAGAATTTATACAAATCATGTGTCTAAAAATCAAGTAATCGAATGTGTACTTGATAAATGAGTTAGTTATGTTTTGTTTTTTTTCTATCGTTAAATTAAAAAAAAACAGCAAATGATGTACAAGAGAATAAAACACTTAAAAATAATAAGAAGTAATAATTATTTCTAATATGATGATTAGAAATACAGAGGTGCATGGAATACACTGTTGATTCAATTTATTTAGCTAGTTGAAAGAGAAGATAAATGATTACGTAAACATTGAAAATCAAACATTAAAAATGGTCTAATTTGTAAAAACCTAAATTATATAATATGTATAGAAATAGCTAAACTATGACACAACTTGTAAAACAACAATATTCATATTCATTGTTCAAGTGAATAATTAAACCACACCTATACAAAATAAAATCACACAGAATATTCAATATATAGGTCGTTTTTACCTATCATTGTATGGTAATAACAGTCAAATAGTCAATCATTATTAATTTTGTTTACTTATTTAAACACATAAACATTAGTACAAGAAGGCACCAAATAGATATGCACCACATAAATCATTCGATTTATGTGAGGGCTGGGATACTGCGCGGGTGCCCAAACCGAAGCAGATGGTTTTCTTAGGAGGCAACCCCTAGAGCCTTTGACCTAAAGGTCTAATCCAAAAGGTAGTGGAGCAACGTCAGGAGATGCAGTACTATGGTAGCCGGTGACCAGCGATTGGTTCATACGCCATTTGTTCCTTCAGGATTCTGGGGACAAAATAAACCATTGGTTTGGAATCAAGGTTTTTCAACTCCACTAGGTGGATCCTCTATGTCCACCAACTCGGTTAAAGCCGCGGACATTATTAATTGTTCTACGGTGGAACATTTATATTATATATATATATATATATATATATATATATATATTGAGTTATTTATTTACTCTAAAGAAGTGGATTACATTAGATTACGAAACGTTAGAAATACAATTTTTCTACGAATTAGAATATGAAAAAATGTATGTTTATCATAAAAAAAATCTAGGGGTTTATAAATAAAAAAACAGACCTGTAAATTAAAGTCACTAGATTGTGATTATAATTAGTTACAGAAAAGAAAAAACGAGTCAAAATCTCTAATCTGCTTCTGTTTAACAAATCAGTTGACGATTACCGATTGACTACTTAAATACGATCATGCTTAAGCCACCTGATTGCTATGATCTTTGCGACATTATGTTACGAACTGGAAAA